TGAATGGAACTGGAGAACATTATGCTAAGTGAAATAAGCCTGTCAAAGAGAAATAAATATCCCATGATCTCACTCGTTTATGGTATATAATGAACAACATAAACTGATATACAAAAACAGATCCAGAGACAGAGAAGCATTGATCAGACCATCAAACCTCAGAGGGAAGGTAGGCGAGGGTGGGGGTAATGGGGAGAGATCAACCAAAGGACTTATTTGCAAGCATATAGGCCTAACCAATGGACACGGACAACAGGGGGGTGAGGGCATGAGTGGGGGGAATAGGGGGTAACGTGGGGATAAGGACACATATGTAATAACTTAATCAATAAAAAAATTTAAAAATATATTTTGGGAGAAGTTATATTGTGTGGTTTAGAAGGCTTGTGTGTGTTGAAAACTCTGAAATTTTTTGCTTATAAAACTTGTGTATTGAAATGCATAAGAGTGAGAACTGAAGAAGGCCCAGAGCCTGCCTGCATAACAACCATCCTGATGAGCAGGGAACCTTCCAAGGGGTACAGGGAGCTGCCCCTTTTGCCTCCTGAAGACGTGCAGGCAGCATCCTCAACGGCTCCCTGGTGCACAGCAGCACTTTCATTGGGGAGCAGTTGTTAGCAAGGCTGACATTTACCAGCCAAACTTCAGGGGAAGGAAGAGGGAGTGAGCAAGTTACACCTAACCATTCAGTATAAGACTGAGCTACAATAACAACAAAGGTGTGGGGAAAATGTTTTTTAATTGAAAGTTTTTAGAAAACATGAAAACAATGAGTTTCGTGGGCAGGACTTACACCGATGCGATATGTGTTTTCCAAATTAACCTCCTGGGGTCTGGGCTGCATATTTGCAGAGGTGCTCTCTAATATGACCAAGTCACTGCTTCTCTTAAGGCACTAGAATTACAGGAGCAGTTACAAGTTTGCTTGTCCTGTATTACACCAAATCCCTGGGTGAACAGTCATATAGCTTCGCTTTTCAAAAAAAAAAAAATTGAAGTCAGGGTGAGGGTAGATCAATATACCAAACCATTTTTCCAATGATTCCTTCCACCT